TACGATTCGATAAAGTTTCGTAGCGCGGATGCGATCCCGGGATCCTCTTTCCCGCGGGGATATGTTTCTGATTGGCAGAAGTTACCACGGGTTATAAGTTGATTAAGACGGGGAAACGATGCCAAAGACTGTTTGCACAGATAATCTCGAACTTGGTTTCGTCACGGTAAAGTTTTGCCCCTCTCGATAAGATGCCAACAAATCGCGACGTTTTTTCTAATTGAAGGACTGATACCGGGATATACAAAGAATAACACAAAGTTGCACATTGCTTCGTATTGTATATCGCGATGCTTAAACAAGTTATGCATCTGTTCTTCGAAATAATTGAACAGATTGAAAGTATAAATTCTAAGAAAGTTTTTGTATAATTTTCATCATTTTAATGGAAAAATTTTTAATTGGGATTTGAACGAAACGAAAGATCAGATAATTGATATTGTTGAATAAATAAAAACGTCATACAGTTGTAAATAAAATAATAATTGAAAATATTTGAAAATGTATATAAATATTTATATTACAATCTTTATAAAATTTTTTTACATTTAAATATTTTTTTGTAAGCTACTTTTATAACAGCGTATTATTTGGAAATCTATTTCCCAACTTGTTCTATAACGCGTTTCTACTTCGTTTTAAATATAATTAATCTTAAATCTTTCCTATTTTAACTCAAATAGTTTTAAATGTAAAAGCGTAAATAAATACTGAAAATTTAAATCTAAATATTAAAAATTAAAATATATATGCGTGCACGCGCAAGGATCATAAAATTTTAAAAACTAAACATTAATTCTTACAGAAAAGTATTCAACAAATTCGTTAGAAATAAAATCAGGAAAGAATAAAAAGTACAATTTATCGAACAGATATCTCAAAAAAGTCGTAATTTGTCATCACCAGACTCGGTAGCACGATATATGCATTCAGGCGACGTATAAAATCACAATAAATCTCAAATAATAAATCCCGTCCATATTATCAAATAATACATTCCAATTCCATTCATAAAGATATTCCAATATAGATTCGTGAATCTCGTACAGGTTATGCAAATAATGCGGCTAATTGTAAAAGAGACAGGTGTCAGGTGTGATCGTAATAAAACGTGAAAGACTCATAGTCGTGAAAATAAAGCATGTCGGGGATGAGATCTAACAATAAATATTAATTCTGCGAATTAATAAAATTCTTTTTATTTAGCCTTTTAATTTAACGTTCCTCAACCAGTGATTTAATCACTTATGACTAAAAATATATAGACCATTCCTATTTTTATTTTCTCTTTAGAATGATACCCAGTTCATATATGGAACGTGAAGGACTAAACAAGCCCAATCTCATCGCTTCATACATGCGCACTACGGATGTAAGATAAACGGGGTCGCACGTGAACTAACGCCGTTTACGATACTGGGTTATGAGGTATTAAAGGACGACGATCGCATATTGATATCGCGCGTAAGGACGCGCATCAGCTGCGCAAAATTTATATACGTATCCGCAACAGTGATGGCGCATAGATTAATTTTAAGAATATCAGGTTGTACAAATTGTGTATGTAAATGTCAAATATAGTGATATTATGATACTATAAGATGCAAATGCATTATATATAACCATGTATTGCAAATTTAAAATTTAAGCAATTTCGGCACGCTCGGCATTACTAGAATTAATAAAAATTATTGGACGCGATACACAAATAAATTTCAATATTCCAAATTATAAATTAAAATTAAAAATCGTCTCTTTTCAATATAGCTACATCATTAAAAAGCTATGATTCGTTAACTTTGAAAATATTGTTAAAAATATTCTGATGCATATATGTGACGATTTAATATGTTTTTATGACGTCTTTTAAATAAAATAGGAAACTGATAAGCATAGGAATGTATCATTTCCACAGTCATTTATCCATTTAAATTTCTCTAAAATTCTAATTTGAAAAGCGCCTATCAGCTATCATCATTTTATTACATCCGTAAATAAAATATTTTATTGACAATGTGTCCTTTAACATTTAATGTATATTTAATCGCACATTTTATATTGTAAATATGTATCATTTATATTAATGTATCTCGATAATTATCAATAATTAATTAGCTCTTAATATATGTACATTTAATTTATACATTTATACACATGATAAAACAAAATTACAACAATTTTGAATATTAACACGTATTGTTTCATAATAATATAATTATTTTAAAATACGCTATTTATTAGGATAAATTAAAATAAATTAAATACGTCTAAAAATATTTAATAAATTATTCCGAAAATTAAGACCAGAGAATAGAAGTTCTTAGAAAAGAAACAGAGAGAAAGAAGCTGTAATATGTTATACTGAAATTTGATTGTTTTTTTCACCCTTAATTTCATCCACAAAATTAGATTGTCAGAAAATAAAAATAATAAAGAACACTATAGCTCACAACCTTTTTCATTAAAAGTTGATTCAGCAACTTTTAAATGAAAAACTAGAATGTAATTTGTCACACGGAGTATCACAATTTACAAATGTATATTTGTAAAATTTGTTAACGATTATATCCTCAATAAAACAAAATAGATTAAAGCACCGTTATCAATGAAGAAAAATATTCTGAAGTTATACGATATTAATTAAAAAGAAATCCTCTGTAGAAGAGAGATCAACTAAAGCTAGAAGTTTTTCTTGCAAGTGAACTACTTTTTCCGATGCAAGTAAACTTGTACTGGCAACGCCCTGGTCGTAAGAAACCGTTGTTTCCGCGACAAGATATCTTCCACGCTCTCAGAAACGTTCCCTGCAAATTCGACGAGTTTCTCGACAAGACGTTAGCCGTAAGAAGCTAGCAGACCGACTCGGTTGTTCCTGAGCAATTCGTTACTGCTACCCTTCTCTCACTGCCCTCGTCGGCACTGTTCCATCGTTACTCGCACTTACGTATATATATATATATGCGATACTAATTTTCCAGAGGTCCCATGGAGAAAGAAACTCGTGGTTGATTTTCTTCAGAATCGTATTTTCCCCCGGCTTTTTATCGTACCATTATACCATCGGGGGAAGAATAATATCATTATAACTTTACAGAGAAAATTTACGATTCGCTATCAAGCAATCATTCCGAATGAATCGATTAAATTATATTGAACAAACAAATCTTTGTGCTTAAAATGTATAATAATGAGGTATAATATAGTGTGAACGGTAGAAATTCATATGAATTGCGGTTAAAAACACAATTTATAGAAAATATTGTATTGCAAATTATCGAATTTATCCAATCGAACAACTTTCTTCCCATGGAAATTAATTCAATATTTGATTATTGCAAAATATGCAACAATGATTAACTCGGGGCGTTTCCTCATTAATCAGTTAAATCCGTAATATCTTTTAGAGAGAACTGCAAATATATTATATATAATATTAAATTAAAAAAAAAAAAAAAACAGAAAACATTTTTTATCTAACAGCAACGTTTAAATAATGTAAAATCAAGGCTAAAATAACAAATATATTTTGAACATTAAAATATTATCGGATGTGTGCGCCACATTCAGTCACACGGGTTTCTGTTCGATCAAAGTCGGTGGCAAATTTCGGATTTCTGCGGACGATCAAGCACAGACCACGCTTCCGCTTTGCATTTAGCCGTATCAGCTAATGAGATCCCGCGACATCATCCCAGGAGATTATGGGTAATGCATCGCCGGAGGCTGTACGCCTGTGCAGGCGTGTCTCTCGCTCGACAAAAGTTACTCGACAACATTTTTGCTGGTATCGCGTGGTTATTAGTATTTCGTTCGGTACTCCTGGCGGCTTTTGCACGGATTATCCGATTATTCAAATTCCCTTATCCCGCGGATGCGACTTGATAAAACCCCCTCACTACTTCAGAGGCGACGGGTAAGACTTAATCATCCATGCTCTAATTCTGCGCAGTGGATTCATTCAATTCGGCATAAGAACTAGATTGCCCAGAAAGCAAATAGACGATACGCATATTACGGCACATTTTCGCAGGACAAAGAGTTTACTTAATCCTCTTTAAAATGTGTCAATTTGCTTCTCACGGAGAGATCAATTTGCTAACATTTCGAATAGCTTTGCACAACTCTATTAATGCTACAATTATTTCGTACTAAATTAAGTTTCTCTAAACGTGCCCTCATAAAACTGTGCAAATTCTCTCCACATCGTTTAAAAGCTGATAATAGATGGTATTCACATTTCGAGTGTGTGTGTGATAAAGGAAAAACAGTAACGTGACGGAAATGATTCTTTTTCCGAACGGTCAGAGGAGTTTCCTACTACAATAAACATTGGCGGTAATGATAATAGCACAGCAATGTAGATACATATATTCTGTAAATTGAAAATCGATATCGAAATCCCGCGCACTTTCAATGAGGCTTACGAGTTTCATGGGGTGGTAAAAGCAATAGTCTTCGATTTAACAATTTTTATAAAAAGATCCATTTCAAGCGAGAAGATGTGAGAAAAACGTATTCCGATTGAATAGTATAAAGCTAAAAGAATGTTGAATAAGAAAAAAAAAAAAAAAAAAAAAAGAAACAGAGAGCGTCCGATTTTACGCTTTCACTACACTTGACTAATCTTTCGTCACTTCAGAACGAATCAGTCATCAATTGCACGTGTAATAAATATTTTTGCGACAGCAAAAATTGATGGTTTAAAAAATGGTCACTTTTCCAAATCTATCGTCAGATAGAATGAATCAATTAATAGTAAATACAAAATATTTTTTTTTCTTTCGAAACAAGGTTTCAATTTCGCCGATATTTGCGCAAATATTTTTCCTAAAAGATTATCTAAAGTCCGAATGCGAATATGCGAAATGCATACAACTGCAAACGCACAATGCTGGAACTCAATCACCTAACGCACATATTGTACATATATTTCCTCGCTCTCGCTCTCTCTCTCACTCTGATTCGATAATACAACAATCGTGTCGATAGGCATCACTTACCTGCTGATTGTTCAGCGTGAATAAGAACTGAACCGGCGGCTTCGATAACGGCAGACTGCAATTTGCCCTCAACGTGTCTCCCGGATCGTAGCGTTCGCGTTCCGATACGATAACGGGTCTCCCGCTGGGTAAAGCTGAAACATAATAATTTCGTAAAGTCTCTCTTATACTCATTGTCGACGAAACTAAAATCTAAGGGGAAAGGGAACGAGGAGGGAATGCCGTAATCGCGCCGTTTTCCTCGGCGCTCACCGCCGAAACTTATCCAATATTCAAGCGCCAATGAGGAGCCCGTTATGTCGCCGGGTTTATGCGCTCCTGCGGAGCACAATGGGGGTACGTGTATTGCGTAATCCCGACGCTACCCTCAAAAGGCAGTTACGGACGCGTAACCGTGGAAAAATATTAAGCGCAGCACGCGGGATATTGATTTTGCCGGCAGCGGCGCGAATCGGGTAAACGCGGGGCGTTGTGATGCAAAGACAATAGCACCCAAACTGAAACTGTGATTAAAAGCTTGTTTGTTCTACTGCAAAATGAAGTGTCCGTGAATAGCGGCGATCATTGCTCGCCTCCCCCGCACAGAGGGTAAAACGGACTTGGGTAAAATAATAAAGCAAACTTTGTGTGTCGGAAATTCACTAATCGTCGCGATATTTCAAACGCGAAATCAAATGTATGGATGTATATCGAAATAATCTAATTTTTTCGAAAAATTCCAGACGTGTAAATCAAATATCCGCGGTGATACGGAATTTCTGCGATAATTAATAACACATTTATTTATATTATTATTGTTAAAATTGCGTTCATTGTTTATTATATCTCTTTCGTGTTTCTAAATTTATATGTATTACGTGGAAATTTTATATTTAAACGCAATGTATATATTATATAATGCATTCATAATTCAGCAATTTAATTTTCTTCTAATTCGAATATTTACAACAATATGGACGGCGTGTATAGCCAGATGTGTGTGTATATATATTATATACATAATATTTGAATTTCGTTCGTTGCACAAATATACTTCTAGAGAAATTGGATGCGCTGGAAATGGATCGTCAATTTACAAAGCACTTCAATTTTATCACTAAGCTATCAGAGATCTAAAAAACGGCCAGAGATATTAAATGTTCATTCCATCTTTTACTCATAAAAATTAAAAAAATTGTACAAATTTTACATACTCGTGTACGAAAAATATTTTTACTCGCTTGTCACTATGTACACATATTGCATACCAATTATAAGAATTATGTGTAAACATATTGATTGTATTAAAAAATCATGTTATTTTGTGTTTATTTAAATAAAATGTAGTAATTTAAAGTAAATAGTAAGAAGAGTATGCATATAACGATTATTGCGAGAAAATGTTTAAGCTATGTATATCAAATAATAGAAAAAAATTAGTTTATTTTGTCATATATTACTTGGTGATTCGTGATAACGAATTTCACGCATTTGGACTATTACTTAAATAACTAAAGTGCTGTCAATGTAATATTTAATAATGCATTTCTTGAACAAATGTGACATATTGTTGTAAGCGAATGATTTATGCAGAAAAATCGAATCTCTGTGCATTAATTTGATCTTCGATTAAGAATGGTTTCATAATATCTAATCGCAAAACAGATAAATTAATTACGTGTTGTATTCGTTAAATGAGAAAATTAAACGTAAATTTGCAAACATCTGGTATATATATTTGTGTATTGAAAATTATTTAAATATTGTGGAAACACGAAATTTAACAAAATTATAATATTGCGAAAACACGAAAGACCAATTTACATTTACATATGATAATTAAAATTATTTTAAGTTATATCTCCTAATCCAATTCTGTTACACGATTTGCATCAATGTTAACGGTTTGTTTTTGAGTTTCCTTATCCTAAAATACTATATGAAAAATATAGAAAATGTTTCGAGATTTTCGATTGACTCATTTTTATGACGTGTTATAATCGTGTTTGCTTATTCTCACGTTCTTAACTACAAGCTTCATATATATCTACTTCATATAGTGAAGCACTTAAAACCAACTTGAGATGAAACCGGAAGCTATTGCTAGTAAGTCAAGTGAAAGGAATAACTATCGAGTCTCTCCTAAGCTCTGCTCGAGGCGACGATAAACCAACGACTCGTGAAACGATAGAACGATTAATTGAATCTCAGTTATTTTCCTACGTTTCATCATAAATTATCGAGCAAAGAAATTAATTATAGGAATTGATGAAAAGACGCTATGTTTTTGATCCGTAGTATCCTTATTCCTCGATGCAAATATATATTTAAAAAATTCTTAATATTTTTATCAGACGCTGTTGTATAAAGAAGATAAAAGCTTGAATAAAAACTTAACTATTCGAAGAACATATACTATATAATTTGAGTAAAAAGCAATAGAAGGAAATTAAATATTATTTTAGACAATACTAGATATTTTAAAGTGAATAAATGAGAAAGAAAGAGTATAATTAAATAAACGTAACATCGTGATATGTTTTCATGCGCAGAATATTTTCAACTTTACATTTCCTTGTTATTAATGAAAGCTTTATTAACGTCTATTGTTTTAATATTCGTAATTGTGACTTGTACTTCCATCTAACTTTTTTAAAAATAACAAAATGAAGAAAGCAACAAAAAGTAACACAAAAAAAGGCGTAACCATAAGATATTGCAAGAAAATTACTCGATAAAACCTTTACTACGACGTAAAAAGTATCCGTCTATTCCCGCAGAGTTTTCATCGTCCTATACTTTAATTAGTTATATGCTTTGATATCGATTTATTATTTTGATTGCATCAATTAAACGCCACACTATTACGACGTGGAAAAATAAAAAATATAAACTGCGAGGAAAGATAATATTCAGAAAAATTGTAGTACGATACAGATACGATTTTCCCATAAGCATGTGAAAACTGCTTCCGTTTAAATTCGTTTACCTTACGAGAACATCCCGCGATATTATCGTAAAATATCAAATTCATATCCCGTCCGAGATGCGGATAGCATCGCTTTACTATAAAAGATTCTTCGTCTGGATTTAAGAGTTGCTAATAAAGAAGACGATTTGTGGATATCATGTCACTTCCAAAATCGTAACAAATCCCGTCGTGATCGATTATGCGAGAGAAATGAAATTTCATCACTATCATTATTACATCGAATATTCTTTGCAAGCATCTATTCATTTTGCACGAAATTCGTTAATCATGCAGATAAAACCGAAAATATTGAAATCGCTTTGCAAAGTGGTAATGTATCATAATCGTAGGGCGAAGAATAAAAGAAAACATGGTAGTAAGTTTTTTACATTGGGTATCTGCTGAAAAATGAACGTGATACATTTACAGCAATTCGGAAAAAGAGAAAACCTTTAAATATTTGACGGAGGAGTATCGGGAATAGACGGAAGTAAAAATAAAAGTTAAAGCACCACCGGAAGAAGAAATAAGAACGTAAGAAGGCTGGCTTATGAAACGAAAGAAAGAAGAGGAATTCTAACCAAAGATATAGGTATATACGAAAAATTATTAACCAACAAAGAGGAGATTAATAAATGCTAATAAACTTATACAAAATAATCTCATTTTTTTAGATTTATTTAGTTGTAATGTTACTGTCTCCTTAAATGATTGCAAATATATTATTTGAAATTAAATTAATAATTAAAACGACTATAATTTGTTATTAATGCAAAACATTTTCAAAACATTTTATATAAATGCATTTGTCTATACATATATTTGATAACTGGAATATTGGACGATATGACTGATACTTGAATTTTGCAAATTAAAATGGCCAACGGTTGCCAGAAATTTCGAGAACCATCGCACATCATTCGATCATCAATTTTGTTCTCCGTTTATCGGAAGTCAATTTCATAGTTGATATGATATATATATATATATATATATATATATATATATATACGTACACATATTTCTGATGATTGCCTTCCATGTAGCCCATAAATGAAAAGGAAACTATGCCAATTAAATGTGACACAACTCTTCAATTAAAACAAAAATATTTTATGTATAATAAATAATAGTAAATTGTTAATAAATATTCTATTAAATATTGTAAAGTCATAAAAAGTATTATAAAATTTTGATGCATGTGTAGCCAAACATTTTTTCCGGCAATAATATATTTTAATAATATAATGCGCTTCTATGCATGTATGTGTAAATATAAATATGTATGTGTGCGTACGTGTGTTGTATTCAAGATTTTCAAATAGTTAAAAAAAATCAAAATGTTTTGACAATTCGCAAGAATATAGAATTTAATGAGAACTCAGGAGCAAATTTATGAGAGATGATTCAGATTGTTACGCATTTGTCGGTACATTGAGAGAAACGTGCTTAAGCAAAATTACAAGCGATTTCGATATAGTATTCGCTACTGTCGAGCGTTATACATATTAAGGTCTGAATCTATTTTACATTCATGAGAACATTAGAACGCGAGTACGTAGGAATTTTGAAATTAACATATATGTGCAATCTTCTTGATAGGTAACTGCTCCTGTATAAATTAAAATTATGCAAGATCTCCAAAATCTTTCCAATTTTACATATGTATGTTAAGTGGAATATTATACCTTGTAAAATGCACTTTGCATTATTGTAATACTGTAATAAGAATCGCGTGAATAATTGGCAAATATGAATCCTATTATCTTTCTCATTAAAGAAAAAATCGATTCCAGATTGGTTAAAATTCAAATAGATAAAAGTCAGTTGTGTTTATATGTATGTAGTATATAAAGAGCACAGTAAAAGTTTCGAACTTATTATATGATAATAATTGATAATAATAACTTTTTTATATTTGTCATATGCAGGTTCCAGTTTTTTTCCATATATTTATCTTCAATAAGATAATTTTGATAAAATTTAAATCGATTTCCTCCTATCTAAATTTCATAAATTTTTTGTAACTTTAAATTTCAGTTATCGTGTTAATGTTTAAATGTTTCACAACACGTTGAAAAATTAATTATCGAAATACAACGCGTAGAAATTCAGCTCTTAAAACTTATTACTATCTCAAATATTTATCACTTTGAAATACTAATGAAAGATACAAGCATAGATAAACGTATCATGACATAGTAAACATAAGTAAGTAAACATCAACAATCATCATAACTTTCGCAGGGTAACGTGTTATATGTTCTAGTTTATGAGGGTAATATTAATTAAGCAATAATTATACGTTTAATAATGTATATATACCAAAATTAATTTATGTAAAGCTAAATATAGAAACGTTAAATGAAAGGCATATTTACACAATGTAACTTGAATTAATTCATATTAAAACTTTTTTATTTTTCTATAATCAAATTTTATAAAAAATTTATTCTTTTAGTTTAATAAGAAACATTAATTTCATCGATATTTAATATCCTATAAATATAAATCAGTTTAATTAGATAATTAGAGATCAAAACAACAAATAATTATTTTATATTGGAAGTATAAATAAAATTAAAAAGGTAATTTAACATTGAAATTTCAAATTATTTGATAAAAACCAAGTTTGAGTACGGATGCAAAGATATTCTTCTGCTATTAATTTCAACTATAATTCACTTTAATGAAAATTTAATGTACAGCTTAATTGTCAAAATATTTAAGTCTTAAAAATTCAGAGGTGACATTTTTTCTAAAAAAAATTAGATTGCTTTTTTCTCAGCCTATTTCTCCTTCTCTTTCTGCCCTCTTTGTTCTTAAGCAAAACTTGGCTTAGGGATTAGTTATGGAGTGAAATAAATTTTGAAAAAGCTTTGTCCGGACGAAGTGCGCAAAGAATAACCTGTGCATCATATATCTAACTGTCACATAATATAATTATAAAAAAAGATGTTGAGTTACTTTATACCGGACAGCGTTGTGCAATTTCAAAGGATCCAACGTTTCATTCCTAACGAGGTTCGCAGAGAATTTTCTTTCTGATGGAATGCTTTCTAGAAATACCATAGCTCCTCGGACATAAAATAATGAAGTGATGGAGTGTGCCGTGTTACTCAGGATGCTGTATATGCTTACAGTATAACGCTCTCGTGTATAGTTAGGTAATTCAGTAATACCGTTTCACGAGTTTACGCGCACGACTTTGCTATTACTATGTATATACAATTCTGTCAAGGGACAGTGCACGATACATTTGTACTAATTCAAATTTATATAAGTCTATAAGCGAATAAACACGGTCGCACAGTCGTTTCATTAAGTATAAGTTATGGAAATGCAAATTATTTTTAATTCTAATGTACCTACATTGTGCACAATTGGCATATTATAGAATAGATGCATCGCTAGTAGAATGCATTGCTAGACTCAGCATTCTATTTCTATTTTGTGCAAAAGATTCAACAGAGTCGTGAATCGAGAAAGAATTTCTGATATTCAAGCATATTTTTCCCCTATTGAATCGTGCCGTTGCACTTTAAGACGTTATAGACTGTTCATTGAATCCTCTCGACATAGAATTGCAAAAGAAACTCTTTCCCTCCAAAACGAAAAGATAACAGTGCATATTCCAAGAATAATTTTGAGGAAAGCAACAAGGAATTTCGTTATTTCGATATATGAATTCTTTTATCCAAATAACTTTCCGTCCTGAATTTCTAGCATGCTTGGCTGTGATAAAAAAAATACGTCAATTTTATTGCCCGATTTTATCGCGTAATATTCACAAAATAATGGCAAAATTGTACCGATAAAACATAAGAAGCCTATATTTTGCATATTATTAGATAAATTTTAAGTATAATTTAAGTATAATAGTAATTTAAGTATAATGCATACGTATATGTGTAATAATATATGTATGATATAGGTATATATATATTAAGCCTTTCAACCAAAATTCCTACACATAATAATGTTCTATAATTAAAATATCGCCCAGTGTCACATCGTGAAAAATAATGTATAAAAGTGTGGTTTTAGTTTAAAAAAAAAATAAAACAATGCGTGCAAAAATGAAACTCATATATTGAATCATCGCAAATCGCACCTTCGGAACGTTCAATTCAGCTTAATGTGAAATTTTCGATTTCCTGTAAGGAAAAAAGAAGAATAGCGTTGTAGAAAAGACATCTGGCAACGCCAATAATGCATTAGAAAGTTATAGCCGGAAGATTTGAAGAGCTCAACGCGCGGATAGATTTACGGGCGAAATTACTATATCTCGTGATCTCTCGTTTGTCTTTGAAGAAATTGCGAGTCCTCTACATCCAATAGCACAAATATCAAAGTAGAAATCTCTCGGATACTCGTAAATCTAATCGGCTGTATAGGATTTCTCTCAAGCAAAAAATAAAAAAATAAAAAATATAACGCCAAAATAAAAAGATTGATCGTCAATAGGAAAATAAAAGCGAACATCGATTACACTAAATTCATATGTGAAAATACTTGAAAAATTTGAAGCAAACTTTTATCTCATGTAGTGTGGATTTTATATATACATATACATGATATTTTATGAGAAAATATCGTGCTTGTATAATAATATGTAATATAATATAATGTAATGTTCAATATTTATAGCAATATACAAATAATGCTATAAATACTTAACACGATTTATGATTATATATGTCTATTCAATATAAATATACAATACTTGTGTAATATTTATGACACACCATATGATAAACAACTTGATTAATATTCGTTATGGAATCCATCAGTTATGCGTATTAAATGAGTGATTTGCAATTCAGTTTATCGAGTTTGTGACGCGATTATCAACGGAATGCAAAACGACATACTTTTAATTACACGAGTTTAACTTTAAATTTCGCGCGATAAATTATATCCGCACTGATGATGCTGGGATGATAAACTAATTTCCTTAATGAACGTCGCAACTTCTAATTCTGCGCAACGTATATGAATCTCTGTAAATGGAATTTTGCCAACTATAGTTTATCTTATCGCGTCCTCAATTTGAATTTTTAAAATAAATGCGCGTGTATGTGACAGATTCGTTATTTCACATAAATAAAATTGTAATATCCTTGACAGACACTAAGATACTTTAAACATTTTATAATTGTATAGTCATAAGAGAACTATACAATGTATACGAATGCAAATTGGAATGAGATGCTGCTCGACCATATATATATATATATGGTATATCGTACCGAATGAACATGCACGACAAGCTCATATCAATTCAGCGATGAAGAGGACGACATATATATATATATATATATATATATATATATATATATATATGTATATAGATCAGATTCAATAGGCGGATCAAACGCGACAGAGTTAATAACGATGACGAGGGAACTTTCACCGTCAGCTGTGCGTTTTGCTGCGGGAATATGCATGACTCTTTAGATTCGACTCAACTATTGCGGAGATATATGACGGATATGAAAAAATTTATCACACAAGTAATGTCGAGACACAAACATACATTTTAAAATTCTTTAAATTTCTAAACCTTACGCTATCTTGTTTTGATTATTCGATATTAGTGTATTTATTTAAAAATATATTAAAGTTCAACATTTATTTGTTATATCATATCCTTCACTTTTATTTTTATGTAAGGAAATAAAATATTATATAAAATTAGCGATAAGTATAAGTCCAAATATACAAAGTAAAATTAGAAGTCAAGAACAGAAAATTACAAATAAATGCGTAGTGTGCAGATTTTGGAAACTAACTTTGCAACAATGTTAATTTGTTAAAAATTTACTAAGTACTTCAAATGAGACATTTTAGTAAAAAAGAGAATTAAATTTATGAGAAGTTAAGTTTAGTGTATTTCGATTTAAATTGTTATAGATAAATGATGAATTGTATGTATAAAGTTGTAAAAAATTAAATTTTTAATTATAATGTAATAATCAACTGTTATTTTATATATAAAAGGATCTATGTGTGTGCGTGTACGAAACTGGGCTAAGCTAATTTTTATTCAACCGCGAATAAACGAAATATATCTATAAAAGTCAATTGCTCTCATAAAAAGTTTTCACATAAAATATATAGTTTAAAGAAAATATATAAAATAATTTTCGCCGGCTTTAATTACGCATCGCTTGTAATTTGATAAAATCATCATGTTCACATGAAAATTGAAATATTATATTAAAGTTTTTTACTTTACTTTGATTGAAGTAAAAAAAAAACATTATCGCTGATCCAACGTTGTGCAAGCACGGTGTAGAAATTATAAATTTTAAAATGGCCTACAAAAGTTACAAAGAACCCACGGAATAATTGTAGCTTTTAATTTTGCTCATCGCAAAATCATATTGTGATTCTGACATTTTACAGCAAAAATCAATTTTACATTATTACTGAAAATATAATTGTTTCGTTTAATATATATATATTATATATATATATATATATATATATATATATATGTATATATATATATGTATATATAATATATATTATTCACAAAGGCTGGGAAAATACATCGCGAACGTAATTACAATTGAGCACCAGTTCTCGTACACATAAATTACACTCTAAATTTAATTTAATAATAAAAAAAGAACTCCCTTTAAACCCTCTCAGGATGCTGCTCGGTTAATTCGCTCATGCGTAAAACTATAGCCCTGGGTAACGAGAAGATTGGCAGTCTGCCTCGCGCATACGCGGAGTTTCGTGATACCGGATAATAACGTGGAGCATGTACTTACACACTACGGTGAGATTCTTCGAGACGGAGGCCGTGGAGAAGGTCGGCGCGTCTGCCGTAACTTCGCAGCTGAATGTACCCGAGAGGCCGAAGTCGACTTTGCGGAGCGTTACCTGGCTCTTGTTCGAGTTGTCAGGCTGAAACACACATTTCGCATAAGATGTACAGGGTGAAATGGAAGTATATGCCTGCGTGTCGCGGCGGCCTGGGTTATTACGCAGCGGCAAAGTCGTAATGTCATTTGCATGTGGGTAACATGATTTTACGTAACCTTATTTGTTCAAAGATGCTACGCGTTAGCGAGATTAAATATTCGCGGTTTCGTAATATCGTTGTATGTGTCTGAAATTACTAATTGTATTATTAAACATTTAACTTGATTACTTTATTAGTTTTTATATGTTATTATATGCGTGTCTTGCGTGACAATTGTTCTTAATTAATCGGAAAAAAATACTTAGATTTATCGAACGCGAAAAGAGAATATATAGCGCGTCTTCCGTTTCACCAAATGTTCCATAAACATCGTAGCTTTCGTCATATCGAGGAATGGCTGGTCCACTCGAGGGAATAGTCACCTTATCAGGAAATTATCCGGCACTCGAGTAAAGTGGCCCGAGAAGCCGAGCTGGTAACGGAAGAAGAGACGAGGCATGCTGCGAGAGAAGCCGGTTGGAGGAGGGTTTAATCGAAACAGGCAAAACGAAGCATGCATAATTAGCGGGGGCTTAAATAATGAAAGAGGAAGAAGCACAAGTGAGCGGGGACGCGCCGATGGTTGGGGCGAGAAAAAAGGAAGGGTGGAACTGCGAGCCCTTTGACGAGCGAGAAAGGAGCGTGAAAGGGGCAAGTAAGCTTTTCTCTCTCACCCTGTTGATTTATGTGGCCGTCTTCGTGCGTGCCTGGACTGACTTTTACAGAGGCGGAGAGACAAAAGGATATACGGGAGAGAGAGAAATAAATATGAAATCATAGAGCACTCTGTCGACATTATCTAAGGTATAATCTCCGGCTTGCTATTCTCCTACCGTCTTGTTATATTCCCCTTTGACTGACGATGACAGTGATACTCCCGTAGCGAGATATTCGATACCTGCTGCGTATGAATCGATCATTCGCAGACTACTAATGTCCGCGTACGAGATATGTCGGACAAGCTATCAATCTGTCGCATCCATGAAAAATTAATGAAGCGACAAACTGTTCAAGCAAGATACCAGATATATCGAATATATGCAACGGAATATATCGAATAGATGCAAATAAATGTTCCTTCTTTTATCAGCGAAATTTTATCTTCTATATGTGCTGGTATAAGTTAATAGAAATATTCCTATTCCAAAATGTACATATATCTATGTGACATGTTACTATTAATTTTTTAAATTTTGAACTATCTTTGAAACGAAAAATCTTTTTTTTCTATTACATCGTGTAGCATATGTTTAACGTGATAGATTTTTGTCTCTTATATAAATTCTTATTTGTCTGATGTATATACTTGTTTGAATTCCTATCAGAATCGTAACAATGTCAATATTCTGGAAGCGTGATATTTACACTTCTCGAATGAGTATCGATACTTGGTTTGCTCGCGAATTGCAAGTAGATATCGGGAACGAAGACCCCATCACGACTTCGAAACACGCCATTGTAGAATAATAGGTCAGAACTCGTAATCGTGCGCCGATCTTTTCATCCGTTGACAAATCGATCCGTCGCCATTAGCGACACAATCAATTCGATTAATTATTTATTTCGCCCGTTTATACGTGAATGTTTTGCAAAAGTCGTCAAGTACAATTTACAAATTCCATAAACGCGCGAGAGCGGAGGTACGTTAAATATGCTGATAGGCAGTATATCTGTACAGTATCGTGATTTTATATTTCATTCGCAAATGCGCTTTTAACGTATTGTATTATATAATACCTCGCGTTATAACACCTGCATGAGCGACGCTTTGTTAACTTGTACAAATGTTTCGCGATTCTGACTCCGCAAACAGTCGAATTGGGTAGCTCAATGTTTAGCACTTTCGACATACGCGGAGAATTTCCGCATAACGTATGCGGGGAATCGGAACAACAACTCGCCCTTTACATACATACATACCTACAACGGAATCTGTTATACGGCAAGTTTTCATTTTCCGATGAGATGTATACGGTACGGTATAACGCGATCATTTACGTTCTTAATCAAATATTACGGTGCCAATCAAAAATTATGATCGAGGAACGATACGATGCGATGTGAAATTTCTTTTTTTTTCTACATGCCCTACAAAAACGTATCGTTCATGCTAATAAATGTTCTCATCCCCAATAAAAGTCTATTAAATAAAATTCACATTTAATATCTCGCGACTGGAGAATGCTGCAGTATTAAACAACTGTACAGGAAATATATAGGGTTATGCATCAAATTCCTGTGAAATCGTATTTCCGATGTAGAGATCCGACCGGAATACACAACACGCTCGGTCGGGGTAAATCAAATATCACTCCGAGAAAAACAGACGACCAAGTAACAAGGTTTTTTTTTTTTTTTTTTTCTCATCACCTCCCCGGGGAGGACCGAACCGGCCGTCGAATGTCCGTGTGCGGACGTATTTTTCGAAATCGAGGCTTTTACACATCTCTCTCTCTCTCTCTCTCTCTGGCGCGCGCATTACTTCCCGTCCGTTCGTCACCGGAGAACGAGTCGCTCTCGCGGCGCGGGCCAGTCGTGTTTCGAAACGATAAACGCGCAAACGGGAACGCGCGGCGCGCGTTGTCACGGTTTGTCAGGTCGTTCATTCGGCTGTACCGAAAACACGACGAGACAGCGAGGGGCTTGTTTTTGACGCAGCGCGCGCGCTCGCGCGAGGGTGCCATCCCGAAAAACCACCAATGTGCGTAAACGGAAATATGCTCGGCCGAGAGATGATAAAAGCGCGGCAGCGTCGACTGTTTTTACGGCGATTACAGCGGTCAAGGGTGCTGTTAACGAGACACGAGTCCGGTGCGATGCGGTTTGCGTTACGGTGATACCGATAAAGCCACATATTTTTCGTTGCTCGCTCACCTCCCATCGATTTTCGCGGCTCGGGCGAAAAAAAAAGCGATAGCTGCTTCGTACTCGTTGCGGCTTGCGTGTATGTGTGTCGGGATGTGTGAGGTGCCCCAATTACTAAATATCTTCGATAGTGGTGCATTGTGATCGACCGTTAAGCTTTCGGACGCATTCTTCTTTTTAACGATTTAACTTTTTTTTCGCGCCATGTTCGCAATGCTTAAATGGATAGAATTATAGCTGCGTTACAGAGAAAAGTGGTAAAAAGTAGAAAAAAATTCAAGATTTATCAGCGCGAGCGTAAAGAGTAAGATTGATTTTAAATATATTGAGGTGCAATCACGTTTTATATTAGAAGATTGTAATAAGAAATTTTTCCACTGTAATTATAATAGAATTAATCTCATTCAAAGAAGAAAAATGTACTTAATTTCATCTGTCGATTGTATAATTCATCGATCGCAAAAAGAGTACGTATAAAGAGAATACTTATTAAAAATATCAAATTTATATAGGCTAATGAAGTACTTACAATACGCCTCTCATAATATTGTTGCTCTTCATACTATACGTTGTTCTCCATAAAGGTACTAATTTCGAGTTTCTTTAATCCTCTTCAGCTAAAGCTTGGTTAGTAACTGAATAAAACTTTTCGACCTCGCATAATATGTATTACAATCTCCCCACTCCAGTTTGGGGTAATTTCGTACTACCGATACAGCATAAACAAATAACGTTTATATTTAATTTCGTTGATATATCTACAAGGTATTCTATAATATTTTGTTTTGTCAAATTACGATAAAAATAAATTTATTTTAATTAACTGGAAGATATACTTACAGCATCGCTGTATTTAACCGAGAGATTTTTAGATCTTCCTTTTGTTTCATATAAAAAAGATCTGTCTTTGAGATGCTCACAATATGTCGATTTATGGTTTAAAATTTAGCACCACTATGGAGAACAACCTATTACGAAATAATATAAATATTACAAGACATCTGTGTACGTAATAACTTGCATTAATTTTGAATTACTAGAAAATGTATTACTAAAAAATGAATTAAAATCTATTATTTACACTTAATTTGATCTAGTTATTAATTTAATATAAATTAAAAATATATAAAAGAATCAAAATTTAATTTTTATATGTTTTATACACACACGTGTATGCGCGCTATGCATGTCATTGTCACATTTCAATCAAATTATTTTGTTACTTAAAATTATTTTAAAATTATTACAAACATAATTTCTTAAAATTATATTTGTTGATTCATTTTCAATTCAATTTTTTCATAATTATGGGCTAAAAATATTATTTGTATAAAATGACTTATTTTATATTTTATTAATATTTATTAAATATCAAATATTTGCTATTGGAAATTCATAAATTTGACCATTTTATCGAAATTCTTATATTAATAAATTAAATTCACATTCTCTTAATTAAAAATTTATTATATTTATTTTTGAGAAAAAATTATTTTATCCAAATAATGTAACTTTTTCTTAAAAATTATAAAATCTAAATATTTAATTTAATAACATTTATCTTAATTATTTAATAAATTTTTATTTAACAAAAAAATTAAGACAAAGAAAGATTAAAAGAAATAAAAGCAATAGTACTTTTTTTAGAAAAAATACAGATTTAATATATTAAAATCTGAAAAATGAATGAATTCTACAATTAAATTTATTACAATGAAAATGTGTTATTAAAAAAATATTTGACAATGACATGTATATCAAAATAGAGTTTGCTTTTTTTCTTTACGTGTAGACAATTTTGTATTTTATTTTTTGACAAAAAAACGCATAAACAGTTGAATAATTAATTTTGCACTTCTTTAAAAAAAAAAAAAAGAAAATATTTCGAAAAAGCACAGATGTATTGTGTAAGATAGGGTATACCATTATATACTATTTTAAATACCAGCAAAAGTATTCAATTTGAAAGTAAAAAAGTTTCTAGAGTGCGCGATTTTGTTAAGTGACTTACGTCGACATAAATCCCGGAGATGTTGAAGATCTTGGTAGATGGTTCTTCGGTGGGCGCGAATCGGTAGAACTCATGCCTGCCCCGGTACCACTTGAGAGAATAGAGTGGCGCCGTCTCCAGATCATAATGGCACCGTAGAATCGCCTCCTGACCACGTTGCACCACCTCGGGAACTACCTCCAGCCTGATCTCCCGTAGGCAGTTTGCACCTTTCAGGAAAATGAGAACAGAAACGGAGCATTAAGTCTAGTGCGCATCATTAGTCCGCTTTTACTCATCGTGTGCAAGAGAGAGAGAGAGAGAAAGAGGTCGCACAGCACGCGTCAGCGAGAAATTGCAATTCCGCCGAATGACAATTTTCCTCATCTACCCTCTTCTCACTCTCCACAGCCCTCCACTTCCTCTCTCTCTCTCTCTCTCTCTCTCGCAACTAGATGCAACCGCAAACACAAGCACTCGCGAGCGCTCATGTTCAGGGGGCACCTCTATATATACATATATATTAAAACCATTCTTCCCCCTCGTCGTTCCAAACCCTTCCATTTTCGCGTAATCTATACGATGCGCTCCGCAAACTAACCTTCGCACTCGAGCAAGCACGATGTTTTTTGCTGAAACTCCGTTATGCCGCGGGATTATCGACGATTCGACCTATTAAGCCGGACAGAATTCAGCGCTGGATTCACATTCCGAGCGCGCATTTGTAATAAAACAGAAAGCGAGAGATAGATAGATAGTGAGAGAACAAGGGTGAAAGAGAGTTCTCTGTGACTTCTTGGTGCAGAATGGCGCTCTTATTATGTAGTATCTCCGGGCTATACGGAACCGAGTACAATCTACAAGCCACAAATGTGGGAACAAAACGGGGTTACTTCCCTCCTCAGAAGCATCAGAAACATATGCCATGTTGGCAATATTTTAAGAAACATGGTATCTTGTACTACTAGGTAAGGTATACATTTTCACGCTTACGTGAAAACGTATTTAAATCATTTCAATCTTTCGTCACACGCATTCCATTTATCATAACATCTTGATGGCCTTTTTATAAATAATGTTACGCATTTGTGTCTTGTATATTTTTTAATGATATACTAACTCTGACAAAAATATTAAAAAATGTACGTTTACAAATACGATTGTAGTTTAATAATTTGACATATTAAAATTGAACATTTTCGCATATTTTTAATTAATTATATATCTCTTTTTAAAATTAAAATTATAACTATATAATTGCACATATTAATTTTATATTAATCTAAAAAGTATCTGATATTTTATTGACTTTTTTTAGAATTGCATAAAAAATTTTTATCTACAATATACCGTTATTGTATATATTTCATGTATTATAAAATGTCAAAAATATTACATATTATAATTATATTAATTATTTCTATTTTTAATGTTAAAAAATTGCAATATTGCAGTTAAAATTATAACTATATAATTGCACATATTAATTTTTATATTAATCTAAAAAGTATCTGATATTTTATTGACTTTTTTTAGAATTGCATAAAAAATTTTTATCTACAATATACCGTTATTGTATATATTTCATGTATTATAAAATGTCAAAAATATTACATATTATAATTATATTAATTATTTCTATTTTTAATGTTAAAAATTGCAATATTGCAGTTATATTTACAAACATTTCTTTTCATTTCGTGTAAATTTAATACTGTACATACAGCTTATGAAGTATTATTCACTATTACGTTTAGCATGGAAGTAACTTAAGTAAATATCTTATTTTATTCGCGCGAGTTACACGCGGAATGAGTTTGCTCGAATAAGAGGAGCTGACCATGTTTAATATAGTGCACATGTTACACCAAGTTCTGAGAAATGAGAAAGAAACAGACGGCGCCACGAAATCGTGCCACAACTATTAGAATACTCACAAGTATGACAAAAATATAAATGCTAATGTAAAAATATATAAAATTATTAAATCTAAACTAATATTAGAATTTTGCATATATATTTGACGTAATAATTAATCACACAACTCATTTTTAATTACACAAATAATCACATTTGATTACGTACAATTAATAATACTTTACATATAATAAAAATATAATATAATTATATTGTTGTTTTCTCTCCTTATATATACCTTATAAATTAGTAAAATATGAATTGTTTTTATATGAAATTAGGAACGATTCATCTCTTAATAAGATTCGAGTCGTTTTGTAAACAATTTAATGACGTCGCGTTTTCGGGGAATTTTTATTTAGCCGAAAGAGTGTTGACTAAGTCCTCTGATGGCAAAATGATACGAATTTCCATCAGGGAATGAGACTTGAGAGGTTGAAAAAGCTTTTTCCTGCTTAATTTTCGTTTGAAAGGAATTCTAAAAAAATGTAGACCGACATGATGCTGGTTCTAAGTTTCCCGGGGTTTCTTTTGAGGGACGCAATACTTACAACTCGCAATACTCGTTTTCCCTTGCGTTAGTTCCGCGCGTTATACTATCTGACGTATCTTTATATTTAACTCTCGAGACCCTAGCTAGTTTTTATGCCCGGCAGAGCGCCGTTTATACGACTAATTATTCGTAAAGAAAGCTAATTTAACGAAATACTTAATGTTTCATCTTCTTTCAAAGAAGGAAATACGCTACGTAATACAAAATTGCCTCGCTCGCCGACGTCAATTGAGACGATGGATTTTTATACTTTCATAAAGGCGCTCGTTTCTGCAAGCGGGAGCCAATATGATGGTGGTAGTATATTTTACGAAACCAGTAAATAAGGTCTATATACGTAATATTCTATATATAAATATATATATATATATCGACTATGTAGAATATTTATTATTAACATTTTTAAATTATGAAAAGAGAAAAAAAACAGTTTAATGAGCTTTTGACAAATAGATTGAAAGGAAAAAATCTGATTTAGCGACGGTAAATGCGTCGCGAGATTGCCGAATAATAACGTTTTTATCAAGCAGTAAAATATATATACAGATATTCATGATGGATATTTTAAAACTATGACATTAAAAGGTAAAAAGGTTTCGCGAAGAGAGTTAAAAAGAATTCTGTACGTTACGATAGCCCTATGAAGTATGTATATGTACATTATAATTCATAAGATAATTTTTATTTCCTCCTCCTGTATAATTAGCAAGTAGACTTTCCTTCTGATAAAAGACGGTTGCGTTTGTTCTTTTCGTCCGCCTCCATCATCTCATCGCTTTCCCGCTTTCTCCAACTTTGAAATTTATAACAAAGTTTTAACAACTCGTCTTCTCTGTGTTGCGAGTAAAGGAAGTCAGGGATCCATCGCATCGAGAGCAGCGTAACGAAGAGAAATGTGAATTTGAATACTCTTAGCCTTTAACGTCAAAACTCCGGATAAATTGCGATAATTTGACCGCTAGTATAAAGATTAATCTTAATATCTTTCAGTTGAGAATGTCGAAATAAGAGTAAAATTAGGTGTTATCATAAAACGATTAACTTTAAATATTATGATTTCAAAACACAATGATTAATTAGTTTTGTAAAGATTATTCTTGTGTAATACAATTTTTTTCTTTCCACAATCTATATCCACCTTGTGTAAAAAAGAATCAAATTGCAATAATATTTATATCTGTTAAATTTTAACAGTTGTAAATGATGATAAAGGTAAAGAGCAAACAAGATAAATGTCCAATTTTAAATAAATATTTATTAATATCGATTACTCTAGTGTTTCATCAACATTTTTTTAATCGGCTGAAAATTCTTATTTGGGTTCAATATACTAATTATTGTATTGCTTAAAATATTAAAAGAGATTATACATACACATCCATGCAATCTCACATTTAAAAAAATAACATTGGTTTTTCCGGTCGCTGCAAATAGATTTGATTGCAATAAAATTACGTCGATTTAACCGAACGGAAAGATTATTCCGGAAATATCGTTGGAAGGTAAAGTCTTTCTATGGCATTTCCACGCGGGAGTATTAAACGGTGCAATCGACGCGAATAAAACCATTTTCGTTAAATACGATCGACGCGATTTGCGAAAGCTCGCTTCCGACAGCTTCGACAGTGAGTTTCGTGATATCTATGCGGACTGGCTTACCATCCGGTATAATTCCAATGCGATTCGAGCATTTCCGTCGCGGACGAAGGCGCGCTTCAGGCAAATTAAGCTTCACTCGTAACTGCGAATGACTACGATCAGAATTGCAAAATTCCCATGTGTACACTCTTTTCCTTTGCGTTTCTTTTACTTCGATTCGCCAAATGCGAACAATTTGAGAACACGAGGGACTTTGCTTCTATTCGACCGCGAAATTCTGCCTCCTCAGCCGCATAAGCAACATTATATTAGAAAATAAAAATATATAAACAAATTTATAAAAAATATTTTACATATGGATATATGCGATAAGTTGCAATTAACTTCTTCAATTTTATGCACTCATTTTAATTGGCTTGTAATATTCAAATAGGACAACGATAATCGTAATAATATCGAATGTTTTTTTCGACATTTTAATATTTATATAAAAAATATTGAATATAATGTAAAAGGTATGATGTAAAAATGTGTAATTTCTTTATATGTGTGATGTTAATTATTCAGAAAACATATTCATAAAAAAATATTTAATCGAATGTTTCAGTTATTCAGTTCAACATATTGTATTCCACATTAAACTCTATTACGAAGCTATTATAAAAGTATGTAAATTGATATATTATACAGTCCAATTTATTTTATAATGAGATTTAAATCGAATGTGGTCTACATTTTAATATTTCAGATTTGCATTTGCCTCTGGAATTTATTTCATGAGAAAGATTATTCTTATAATTATCAATGCACGCTTAAAGATCATCAAAATTTGACTTGTATTTAGTATATATTAATATTTATATTTAATTGTATTTAATTACATACAGTATTTTTTAATAAAATACATTTTTTTTTAATATAAAGAGAAAAAGAAGAAAAAAAGATAAAAAAGTAGATTTAAAAAATGACTATAAAATGATTTAAATGACGCGATAAATATAAATTAAAGGAAACAGAAATAAAATGACGTGTTTTTTTCTACAATTTTTCATTTGTATACGCATTGTGTGAAACTACCAAACGCTCACCATTTCAGAGAGAAATGCAAACGAACATATTTCAGTCATAGTGCGTGCAAAAGTCGGTTTTTTCACACAGTAA